CGTTTCCCTTTTCCCCTCCTATCCCCCCACCAATCAAGGACGTGACCGTAAAAGTAATTTATGCCCTTTTATTATATATATATAAATAATTGCATGATCTCACATGTGCAATTTCCCTAATATTTACCTAAAATATTGATTACGTCATCACGACGATAAATAAATAAGTAAATTAATTAATTAAAGGGAGAGGCGGGGAGGGGGAAAAAGGGGCGGATGGAGAAGAGGAGGAAGAGGGAGGAGGCGAAAAGGAAAAGTTTTCCTTATTCGGCATTGTTTTTTTTTTGGTGCGTTTCATTATTATTATTATTATTCGTTTACGTCATTTTTACATTTTTTTTCGTATGAATCTCTCTCTCTCTCTCTCTCTATCCCTCTTCATCCCTTTCCCTCTCTCTCTCTCTCTCTCCTGCGAGAACATATTTGAAAAAAAAAATGTTTAAATGTTACTTAAAAAAAAAAAAAAAAAAATGAGGTGAAAAGTAAAAGGTTATAAAGTTTAAAAAAGGAGAAAGTTAATAAACGATAATAATAATAATAATAATAATAATGATGATGATGATGATGATGATGATGATGATGATGATTTCAACATTTTTATATTGTAATGTAAAATGAATTGATTGAATTTTCTAAAATCGAACCTGTTTATTTTAATTTAATTTTTAAAAATAAAATTTCGAAACTTTTTATTTTACCCTAAAATAATAATAATAATAATAATAATAATAATATGTCGACATAATGTCGTAAATATTGTTATCATTATTTTTTTCGATTTGATTTGATTCGAAAGTGTATGCGCGCCATTTTTTTTTTTTTTTTAATACACCTGATAAAAGTATTTATTAATCACAATATATATTTTTTTTTTTTTTAACGGAAGTTTAATTTTTTTGTTACTGATAAGGATTTACTTACCTGACATTGAGCTTCTGTATCTGCGTGATAACCCCACTCTCTCCCCACGCAACTAAATGATGTTTTAGGTATTTCGCTATAAGTTGGATAAAGCGGAGGATTTTTTGGCACGTGCAAATCGTGATACATATCGTGGGGAGTCCCGTCGGCGTTTAAATAATGACCGCAATTCACCGTCGCGAACGTGACGGAAAAAACTACAAAACAAAAACCGAAAAAAAATTAAATTAATCACGTGTTTCCTAATATCCATTTAATCCCGTTGAATCCGCACCTGGACACGCACTCGCCCACTCGCCCACTCACTTACAAACGCAAACAAACCTCACGACACGTATACTCTTAATTTAATTAAACAAAAATCATAATATTTAATTTTTTTTCGTTTCTGTTTCTCCTAAAAAAAAAAAAAAAAAAAAAAAAAAAAAAAAAAAGCAGACGACGTAAAAAAATGATAATGATGATGATAATAATAATAATAATAAATAAATGTAAAAAAAAAAATTAGCAAATGGAATTTTTTTCTGCTTATTATAAAGATAAAATAAAAAATCGATTGCAATCTAATGTAAATAAATTTATTTCAAATCGAAATATCCTAATAATAATAATAATAATAATAATAATAATAATAATAATAATAACAACAAATTTGTTTTTATCATTATTATCATTATCATTATTATTATTATTATTATTATTAATACGGACGTGACTTTTTATTTTATTATTATATATTTTAATGACTCGTTAGAAACTTTTGAAAATTTTTTTTTATAAACATTAATTAAATAAATAAATAAATAAATTCGAAAGGTTTCTCAATAAAATTTTTTTTTAAATAAAAATAAATAATACGAAAGTGATTTGTAATTAAATAAATTTCTACTTTCTTTCTAAAACTATCTATCTGTATATATCTGGTACGCGATATAATAATAATAATAATAATAATAATAATAATAATAATAATAATAATAATAATAATAATAATCGATTTTTTTGTTTTTGTTTTTTTTTCTTATTGAGAACAAATGACGTGACGTTTTTTTTTATTATGAGATGAAAAAAAATTTTTTTTAAATTTAAATAACCGAAAAAATAGAAAAAAAATCGATAAACTAACAAATATCGATCGATCGATCGATCTATCGATATGTTATTTTCCCGCGTAAATTTAAATAAATTATTTATTATTAATTTTAAAATTATCATACGTCGAGTAAAAAAACGTTTGAAAAAAAAAAAAAAAAATTAAATTTTTTAAAAATAAATTCTCTTCGTTATTATTTATAATCATCATCATCATCATCATCATCATCATCATTATTATTATTATTAAAAAAATAATTTAAATAACGTGCGTGCCCACAAAAAAAAAAAAATAAATAAATAAATAAATAAATTATTATTAATACAAGGAATAAAAAGTAATAAATTTTTTTTTCCTTTTCCTTTTTTTTTTTTTGGTTTTTACGAATCCGTCGGAAAAAAAAATTTATTATTATTATCATTATCATTATCATTATTATTATTATTATTTTAGACTTTAAACTTTAAAAAAACGTAAACAATAATAATAATATTAAAAAAAAAAAAAAGATAAATTTTAATCGTCGATGATAATAAATTAATTAACACCTTCGTAACACACAAAAAAAAAAAAAAAATAAAATAATTTCCTTAATAAATAAATAAAAAAAAAATAATAATGATGATGATGATAATGATAATGATAATAATGATGAATTATTAAATGAAATTCTCACCTGCGATATAAATCGTTACGAATAAATCTTTCATTTCGTATATGAAAACAAACAAACAAACAAACAAACAAAGTAACTTTCTCGAAACTTACTTTTAATTACAAATGAAATTTATAAACTAACAAACAACGACACACACCTACCACCAACAACAACAACAACAACCAATCCGTTTTTTTTTTTTTTTTTTTTTTTTTTTTTTGTACTTAGAAAATAACTCGAGGAAAGTACCAAGGGCTTGTTAGCTTATGACTTTTTATAAAAAAAAAAAAAAAAAAAAAAAAACAAACCTGATGATCATATGAAAAGTGAAAAGTGACATTCGTTCTTTCTTGTTAATTTTTTTGTCTACATTTAAAAAATTCGCCAACTTGTTTTTTCCCTCAACAATCTCTTCCTGTTAACTCTCTCTCTCTCTCTCTCTAATTGATTTTCGATATATTTTTTTTTCAAATTTGATTTTTAAATGAAATCCTTGATAATATTATTTAAGAAATTGGATACCTGAAAAAAATTAAATAAAATTTCCCTTATTTTAAATTATATTTACAAAAAAAAAAAAAGTGAATGGTAATAGATATTACGTAGTGTGAAAAGAGGTCAAGGACTACTGACCTTTTGGGTCAATCCTTTTGGTTTACTTAATAATAATAAAAGTATATAAAACGAATTTTTAAAATAATGGCGAAGGACGAAATGATACATCGAGACATGTGTTAAATGCCACGGTTGAAATAAATATATTTAATTCCTTGAATTTTTTTCATCGTGACTCACATTTTGTCCTTAATAAAAAAAAAAAAAACTAAACATCTGCAAAAAAAAAAAAAAAAAAATAATAATAATAATAATTAAATTGAATTAAAATTTATTTTTTCACGGTGTAGTATTAATAATTTCAACAAAAAAAAAAAAATTACCATAAATAATTCTTCATTTTTGTTGTTGTCGAACAATTCGATAATAATAATTTTCCCTTGGTAAATATTTTGTTTTATTATGTTTGATAAATAATTTCAATAACTTGTTAATTACTTTAAACATGTTAAAATAAATAAATAAATTAAAATATCTAATAAACATAATTATTAATATCGAAAAAATTTAAATAAAAATTTCTGATTGTAATTTATACAAAATTAATAAAGCATCGAGTACAGTTTAACTAAAAATTTAAAAACAAAATGTACAAATAGTAAAGCATCATTTTGCTTAACAATAAATATTATTCATATGATATTAAAAATAAATAAACACTCCATAATTATTAAGCATAAATTAAGCTTTAAATAAATTTATTGAAAAATAATATTTAATAAACATTGCAGCAGAGAGCGACAATTTCGACGATTTTGTAACAAATATACAAAAGCTAAGTGCTGTTAACAATTGTATAGCATATAATAATTCTTTGCATTATTAAAATACTTAAATAAATATATATTAGTGCCCTTTTTTTTGTGAAATAAATTTTAAATTATTAATAACAATTTTAAAATTATTTTTTTGTCGAATTTTCAAATTTACTGATTGCTTCGTTAAGTAAAAAAAAACTTTTCGATATTTCAAGGCAAACTTCATTAAATTGAACCGATAGTTCATTGACATCATTGCTTATTTCATTTAATTTTTCTTTTTTAGATAAATGATTAATTAATAAATTATTTAAATCATCTTTAAGGAGTAAAGCATTTTTAATTTTATCATCATCGAGTATTGTTTTTAATTTATCAATTTTTTCCATTTTTTCGCATGTCGATTCCAATTCGTCTTTCATTGAAAGAATTATGTTAAGTTTTGTATTTAAACCATTCGGATCTTCCGTCAGTGGATTCAAATCTAAATAATTATTTAATTCGTTTAATCGTTTGAAAAGTGAATTAAATTTTTCTCTTCCGCTGACTGCAGCCAACATCATGATGTTCGCTTGTAGCAATGAATCAATTATTGGATTAAAATTTTCTGTCGCTTCAACCTTTTCACCAAAAACTTGTACTTCAAGATCATGAATTTTCTTTTCCAATATATCTAAAGCTTCTGAATCAGTGGCCATTTTTGTCGGGCTAACAACAAAAATACATTTCAATCGGTTAACATATTTTGGGGAAGGGGGGAACCAACAGCTACAGATTTTTTTTTTTAACAAAACAAAAACTAAATTGAAATTAACTGATTATAAAATCAATAATGACATTTAAGGACGTAAAAATTTTAAAACTATATTTCTTACAATAGGATAAATGTTAACTCAAATTTCAAAATGGCATATAAATTTTTTCCAATGAAAAAAAAAAAACATTTGAAAATTGACACAAATTTAAAATTATTATCATTATTATAAAATTACCTTTTATTACTTTACAATAATAACTGAATTAAATAATAAACTTAATTGATAAAAGAAATTTTTTGATAGATCACTTCAATCCTCCATATTTAACTACTTACACGACGTTTAATTTCCATATGCGATTAATTTAACGAACACACATTCGAATTTCTAATTCCACGACGATAACGCGCGGAAATGACTTTATTTATTAATAATTATTTACGTCCATTTATTAATTCGAAAAGATTTAAGTAATAATAATAATAATAATTTGTAATTTTCCCTTTTACGTCTTAAATAAAACAAAACAAATCATTTTTTTAAATTAAAAACATTTAATGTTATAATAAAAATTTTATTTTTTTAATTATTATAAACGATACTTATTTACATAATAATTATATAATACACAAAAAAAACATATTCTCGAGGCCAACGATTATATAAATATATATATATATAGAGATATGTAAAACAAATAAAAAATATTATCATTCTTTAATTAATTAAACATTAGCATCATCATCATCATCATCATCATCACCATCATTGTAATACCATTTTAATAAAAAAAAAAAACTAACAAAACATTTTTCTTTTTTTTCTTTTCCAACTATGGCTTCTTAATCGTTTGTGTGTGACCTAATTGTCTATAAAATATTTTTATTAAATTTATTATTATACACATTCACACAATGACATACATATTTAACATAAAAACATTTCGATTCTCTTTTCCGATACATAAAAAAAACACAAAAAAATTAAATAACATTGAAAATTAAAAAAAAAAAAAAATTTCCTTCCGACGGACACATTCACATTAAACATGAATTTCTAATAATATTCGTTTAAAAATAAAAAAAAAAAATTTTTTTTTTTTTTTTTTTTTAAAACATGGCCTATTAATAATAATAATAATAATAATAATAATAATTTTCAAAACCAACTAAATTTTTTTTTTCATCTTTTCGTTGCTGACGTCATCTTTTTATCAAAACCATTACCGATGGTTTGTTTTATCCAGTCTCTGACCGGTGTGATGCTGCTGAATATCGACGGATGCGATCCTTTACCGCAATTGCTGTGGTAACTCAACACTCCCTGAAGTTCCCATTCGCCCCTGTCGTTTATGCACATCAATGGTGCACCTTCTTCGTTCTGCGCCATGATCGAAAAAAAAAAAAAAAAAAATTTTATTGAAAACCCGTCCGCGAAAATTAATAATGATTTATAATAATACTACTACTTACGTAACACAGAGATTGTTTTCCTCCGTTTGATCCGGCGCAAATTTTATCGTCCGTTATGAAACCCGAATAATGATCCGTCGAATTACAATCCGTCAAATTCATCGTTGGCATTGGCAAATATTGAAGTTGTTGAGTGATATTTTTATCTGATTTGAAAAATAAAAACCAAAAAAATTAACACCCCACGTAAAAAAAAAAAAAATTTTTGACGTCAACGACGACGGTTACTACCTTCGGGTCCGTTCAAACCCCAACCCGCGGTCACGCAAATTTGTCTCGGTTGTATTTCCTGTTCCGGCAAGCAAACGGCTCCGACGTTAGCCGTGAATTGTAACGGTTCATCTAATTTAACCAAAGCTAAATCGTTGCTGAACAAAAATTGATTGAACTTGACTTGTGGGTGGGGCACCACTTTGACGATCCTACGAGTTTCCGCATTTTCTTTTTCCGCTTCGAACACCGTCGAACCCACGAATAATTTCCAATCTTGTTGATTTACGTTCCGACTGCTGTTAATATAGTAAATAATAATAATAATTTTACTACCCTTTAAAACAAGATGACAAAAAAGTAAAAAAAAAAAAAAAAAATTACCCCATTTTTAAGCAATTATAACTTGCCAATACCCATCTGGGTGTTAAAACGTTTGCGGTACAACTGTGAAGGTTTCGAATGTTGTACATGAGTGCGACAGATGGCAACTGTCCTGATGTTGCACTCATTCCGCTGACTAAACTTGCTTCACCGTCCGCACCGCCCGTCATTCCTCTGGATCCACAACCTAAAATGAAATCGTTTTTATAGAAACGCCATAGATTTGAGAAGAACAAAAAGGAAGAAGAAGAAGAAGATGGAAAACATACTAAATTCTTGACAGTTGAGTTCGACATATTTTCCAGACGAACAAGTTTTGTTTGTTCTTTCTAAATTAACAATGAAATTATTATTTATGTCTTCAGTCGTAACGTTTTTCAATTTGTAAAATGATTCGACGTTCGATAACGGCATCGAATTGTAATTTTCTAACGGAGCAGACGAAGAATAACCTAAAAATGCGCAAACTTGATCGGAACGAGTCGTCGACCAATCGTCCGCGCAAACGGGTTCGTATTCACCAGATGCGGTCCTGTGAAAATAATAATAATAATAATAATAACAACTCGGTTAGTGGTTCTTATTTTAATAAAATAATAATAATAATAATAATTCGACTTGTTTTACCTTATCTCTAATAAACTCGAATTCGAATTTATTTTCACGCAATCCCATTCGTCGCTCCTGTCCGGACAATCGTCGATACCGTTGCAAACTTGAGATTTTGAAACGCAGCCTCCGGATTGACATTTAAATTGATCAAGAGAGCAATCTGTTCAAATAAGAAAAAAATAAATAAATAAATAAATAAACGTCACTCGGAAATAATTAGGTATCGCGACATCGAAATTTTTTTTTTTTTTCTCTCACCGCACAATTGTTCATCTTCCCCGTTGCTGCATTCTTTGACGCCGTTGCATTTGTAAGACAGTGGAATGCACCAACCTTCGGGACACAGGTATTCGTCGTTTCCGCAAGAACCTGGGTTAAGGGAATGAGAAAAATCATTATGAGAAAAATCATTACGAGAAATTGAATTTTTAATTTGTTCAACTCACGTTGACAGTTAAGCTCATCGGTGTGATTATCGCAATCCGCTTTGCTATCGCACTGCCACACCACCGGGATGCATCTACCGGAAGGACATTGAAATTCGTCGAATTCGCATTTCCACTGGTCTAAAATCGAAGAGACAATTATCACTCTCCCACTCAACAATGAAATCAATGAGAAATAATAATGATAACGTCTTATTCTTACCGCATTGTTTTTCATCGCTTCCGTCGCTGCAGTCGACGATTCCGTTGCACACCAAATGTCTTTTCAAACAAGTTCCATCAGCGCATTGGAAATTTCCAGGACATCCGTTTTCAATGCATCCGATTTCGTCTGAACCGTCCGAACAATCGTTTATGGAATCGCACTTGGATGAAAGATTGATGCAAGCGGACCCACGTTTTGACGTTCCGTTCAAACATTGGAATTGACCTTAAGTAAATAATGATGACGGGTTACAATCGAACCAAAAAATAAAATGATCGATCAAAAATCATCGACTCAGTCCTACCAACCTGCAACGCATTTAGATATGTAACCGAAATAATCTCCGACTTTATATGTTGTTCCCGCAGCGAAATTACTTGGAGTAAATTGAAACGATTGATTTGATTTCTGTCCGTTTGTTTGGAAGGCGTTTCCCTGCAAGTGCACCAAGTTGGGCACTCCATTTTCCGTTAAATTCCTTACGGTAAAAACGGACGAATTCCTAAATAATACGCTATGAGGTGAAACGGTGAAGTTTCCGTGACTTCCGTTCGCGGTAGAATTATTTCCCAAAATGTACACTGTGGAACGTCCGAAATCTCCACTGTCACCTTTAATCACGAACGCGGGTTCATTCGAAGAATATACAAAAGTTCCAGAAGCGTTGGTCAGCATGTGATAATGACCCTCTTGCGGATTGAAGTGACCGTCGAAAACAGTTCCTGGAAGGGATCCGTTTTCCAATCTATACACGGTCGTCGTGGAATTTCCGTTTTGAGGGAAAGAGCTTATAAATGTTGAAAAATCAGAAGCGTTGAAAGCTGAACCGTTTTGATGAAATCCGTTCTGACCGATTTTTACGATTGATGGAAAATTCGAATGACCCGACGCGTTTCCGTTTGAAAATGACGAATTGAAAACTTTGAATAGAAATCCGTTCGGATGAGAGCTTACATTGAAGTTGAATGTTTGTGGCAAACCATTGGTCGAATTTACCGAGCCAACTCGATAAACGTTCGGATGAGGGCCACCTTGTAAAATGACGTCTGGAGTTTCCGAACTGGAATTAGAAAACGAAATTGTGGGACCGGAACCACCCGTGGAATACGCAAAACCCGAATTAGCTATTTTAGAATTCGAAGGATCGAAACCAGTTGTGAAATTTGAAACTTCGGAAGAAAAAGATGGATTGGAGTTGACGTCAAATCGAACAGACTCCCCATTCGAAGTTGAAAACGATGGATTAAAATTGGGAGGCAACGAATTCGAATCGGTTGCCAAATGTTGGTTGAAAGAATTTCCGTTAGCTTGCGCGGAATCCGAATTTCCGTTTGATGAATTTGGATCGAAATTAGAAGTGGCATGAACGGGATTAATGTTGAATCCCGAATGTGTCAAGCTCGGATTTAAAATAAAAGAACTGTTTTCGGCTTCGCTTCCAGATGATGGCTGATTGTAGGCAATTCCAGCAGAATCGGAATTTACCATACTGATGTTATGGGAATCACTACCAGGAATTTGACTTCCGGTTATCATAATTTGTCCGTCGGGTGAAACGACTTGATCAACTTTAACACCTTGCGGATTTAAACTGCTATTTTCATTTTCTCCAGTTGAATGGTGGATCGTACCGGGAACGGAAACGTAACCAGAACCACCTTCTTCGGATGTAACGGGATTTTGTCCACTTAAAACAGTTTCTGGTAAGATAGTCGTACGTTCATTTTCTTCCGAGTTTACATCGCTTGCTGGAGATCTTTGGTTACCATCAAAATTATGACTCCTTGTTAAAACTTGTTCGGAACCGTTTTCAGGATTTTCAGCGTCGACTTTGCTTTTTTCACTTGATGAAAACGATGTTTCGGTTGGTTGTTCGGTGGATTCTTCACCGTCGTGTTTCATAGTGTTCGTTTCTCCGCTGTTTTCAGAAGTCTTTGTTCCTTCATCGTTATCTTTCTGTTCACCATCTTGTACAGAAGATACCGACGTTGATTTCGATTTTTCACCATCAACATTTGAAATTACACCTTCTTGAACAGGCTCTTTTGGTGCTTCACCGTTGAATGATCTTCCGCTTTGAGAAATGTCTCCCGACGTGGGTGTCTTTAGGGTAGTCATTGTTGAATCATCACTTTCCGATTTATCTTCTTTAGCAGAATCTCCATTCATTCCGTCGGCATTGTTTTTCGCATTTGATTCCGAATCAGAAGAGGAAGTTATTTCCGAACTAGAATTTTTGTTCATTTCCGTTGTTTGTTCTTCGGAATCGGATTCTGTACTCGTGTTAATATCCTTATCGTCAGGCATTTTGGTTGAATCAAACATTTCTTTCGAATCTTCAAATAAAGTACTTCCGGCTAAAGTGCCACTTCTTCCAGTTCCTTGATCTTTAATGTCGGAATAATATTTTTTATTATCATCTAGCTCAACATTTTTACCGTCCTTAGAACTTCCCTTCTTTTTTATATCTTTTTTCTTCGCGCCTTTTTGTTTTTCGTATTTATAATCCTTATCGAATTTTCCATATTCTTTATCTTTAACGTCTCCATCTTTGTTATCGGTTATTTTTGTTTTCGACGTCTCAATATCGATATTATCCGTGTCATCGTCGCCAAAACTATTATCCGATGAAATAACCCTTGGATTTTCGTGATCATTCACGACGGTAAAGTCATTGGACAAAGTCTTGGGAGTTTCTTCTGCGCTGCCTTCGTTTACAAATCCGGTTTCGGGAGTGGTTTCAGGAATAACGGTCTTTTGTATTTCATCTTCGTGAACTCCTGGAACGAAATGAGTTTCGTGTCTTACACCTGGAGACACAGTCTGAAGTACGCTTATATCGTGATTTTCTATATCTTCAGGTTTGAATGCTAAAACCGGTACTCCATCTTCAGGCTTGGCAATGTTTCCTAAACTTTTCGTCGTGTGTTCAGTATGGAATTGATTATTATAATCCAAATCGAAACCGTTTTCGTTAACGTGTTTTTGTAGGATAATATCTTCGGGGGTTACCGAGGGTTTAGTAGATTCTTCAGATATTTTTTTATCACCGTCGTATTTGTCTCCTTTTACAAGATCTTTTAATTTTTTCTTGTCACCTTTCAAAAAGGTTTGTTTATTGAGATACTTATTTAAAACTTCTTTTCCATCGGTAGAATATTCATTTTTGTTTTTGTAATCTTTATCTAAAAGCGTGTTGAATTCTTCATTGTCATTATCAGTTCCATCATCTTTAATATTATTAGAAAATTCGTCAGTATTTTGATGATTCGGTGAATTTTTTTGTTCTTCGGAATTATTATTATTACCAGTTGCATCTTCTAAGGAATGAATAGGAGTGCTGCTTTCATTTTCTGACGATTTTGAATCTTTTTCAGTATTTTCATCTGAAGGCGAAAGAGTAGAATTTTCATTCGTGGAATCCGACGGCGAGTGAATATGAACATTCTTTATCTCAATATCGTTGTGATTATCAGTTGTTGGAACTTCCCTTCCTTCAGGATTTTTATTCAACGTACTCTGAGAGGTAGGTATTGAATTTTCTGTAGATGAACTTTGAGAATTTACGGATTCACCAACATTTTTCCTATTTTTAATAAACGGTTCAGGTTCGTCGACGGAAAAATCCGATATGACGGCTACGGGTACCGTGTAGCCTTCATATTCTTCTTTTGGATGAATAGTTGTTTCGTGAAAGACGTGATTTGCCAAGTTAGGTTCCGTTGTCGTGTCATGAACATGTCCAGATTCGGAATTGACATCAGATGTTAATTGATCAGATTCTTTATTGATAGAAGGATTGGTGGAATCCGTTTTTGACGTTTCATCAGAAGATATTGTACCGGCACCACTCGTCGAATTTTCTTCCGACAAATTAGATTCGAATTCAACGGATTCTGATTTTTTAAGTCCATCTTCACGATTATCAGGATTTAAAGAATCGGAAGAAATTGTTTTTTTTTCTTCATTGACATCCGTGAATGGAATAGTCAAATTTTCTTCGCGATCGTTTGGTTTCGTAGTCGTTTCTGAATCAGTCTTATCATCTGAAGTATTTTTATTAATCATATCAACGGCAGCACTAGAGTTTGTGTCATTATCTGGACTAGATTTATCGACTATAATTTCTTCCACGACCGGCTCTCCATTTTCGTTCCGTTCAACGTTATTTAAAAAGCTTTGGCCATCGTTATTAGTAAAATTCTGAGGTTTTTCGGTATCGTTTAAACTCGATTCGCGAAGTAAAATATCTTCCAATAAAGGAACGTGATGTTCATTAGGCATATTTGTTTTTTCCATTGGATTCTCCGATTGTTCCGTTTGAGAAAAATCATTTGGCGATTTGTCCTCGGATAAATGAGTATTATCTTGAGAATTTAAATTAGGAGTGTTGTTTTCGAATTCTTTTTCAGAAGGAGAAAATTGCGCAGTGGAATTGTCAATATTTAAATTTTTCCCACCATCAGTATTTTGATCTGACATATTTTTATCAGAATTATAATTAATACCCGCTTCCTGATTTTCTCCCGAAAATGTCTGATTGTCAGAAGGTTGATTGGAATCGACGGTATCGAAATTTGGTTTCTCCGTAGAAAATTCGTGATCGTTGGGATCCGTCGAATCTTTTGACGATGAATCCTCACTTCCTAAATTTGAATTTAAAATCGATTTGGGTTGTTCTTCTTTTTCGTTGCTGTCGTTAACAGATGTTTCCGGTAAGTTAGTAGAGTCATGAATTTCATCTAGAGAATGTCCAGAAAAGGGAATTGTAGTATGCTCCATTTCAGGTCCACCCGTTGATCTTGACCCCAAAAGAACTTCACCCGATTTAGGTGATGAATGAGAAATGAATGACGGATCAGTTGTGACAGGTGTTTCTTCGTTATTATTAACATGAACTCCCGGTTGTAATCCAATAAAAGTTCGATCAGTAGAAAAAGAATCGTCTTTGTGATCCTTATTTGTTTCTTCATTACTTAAAGAAGAATTCGGATCGTGCTCTTTTGAACCATCGTTAGGTGATTGATTATTTTGTTCAGTTATTTCAGTTGGCTGATTTTCGGTTCCCGTATTGGATTCATTTTCACTTTCAGTACTTCCTTTGTTTTCCTCGTTTTTACCATCAGTTTCATCATTACCGACAGAATGTTCACCGAATTGACCTGGAACTGATTGATCGACCGTAATACCCGATTGTTCAGTTGTATCCTGCCCATTAAATTGTTGGTCTTCATTTGACGATGAAGGGGAGTTTTGTAACAATTGATTTGTATGATCGTGTTCGCCTGCTTCTGATACTGGACTTTGAGTATCATTTTCATTTACGTTGACACCTTGCGAATTTTCATTTCTTTCACCTGATTCCACTGAATCTTGTTCTTCAGATTTGTGGTCGTGTTCATTTAAATTTGGAACGTGTATATGCTCATTGTGTTCGAAAACAGTAGAATCATGTTCATTGGATCTTTCGGCTTGTTCATTTGACGAATAACTTGGATGTTGATGGTCTTGATCCGAGTTTTGAGTATGCGAATGTTGGACTCCATTATTGTCTTCGTTTGTTTCTTGAACAAGAATGTGACCCTGCTCATCTACACTTTGATAATGCATACGATGATCTCCTTGATTATCTTCATTCATTCCCTGTCCATGAAAGTGATTATGTTCATCTGTACCATGGACATGAACATGACCGTTTCCAAGATTATCTTCATTCATCCCCTGCCCGTGAAAGTGATTATGTTCGTCTGTACCATGATCATGAACATGACCGTTTCCAAGATTATCTTCATTCATTCCTTGCCCTTGAAAGTGATCATGTTGCCCTGTACCGTGATCATGCATATGATGATCTCCATTGTGGTCTTCATTTATTCCTTGCCCATGAATGTGATCATGTTCCATAGTACTATGATCATGCATATGATGGTCTCCATTGTTGTCTTCATCCGTTCCTTGCCCATGAATGTGATCATGTGACCCTGTGCCGTGATCATGCATATGATGGTCTCCATTGTTGTCTTCATCCGTTCCTTGCCCATGAGTGTGATCATGTTGCCCTGTGCCGTGATCATGCATATGATGATCACCGTGATCGTATTCATTCATTTCTTGACCATGAGTGTGATCATGTTGCCCTGTGCCGTGATCATGCATATGATGATCACCGTGATCGTATTCATTCAGTCCTTGCTCATGAGATTGTTGACCATGCTCATGCATATGATCTTCATGATTCTGTCCACCTGTTTCTTGACCGGAAGATTGGTGACCATTTTGATTAAATTGAGGAGATTCAAACTGAACTCCAGAATAAACAGTTCGATCAGGTACTGAAGAGTAATCTTGTTCAGATGATCCTTCCCATTCAATACAATTCTTTAAACTTTTATCTAAAACTAAATGAGTAGGACACGTGCAAGTAAATCGTTGATTTAGATAGTTATAATAACAAATGTGAGAGCATCCGCCATTTTCGATTTCACAAGCATTAATAACATCTGAAAAAAAAAAAAAAGAAAAATTTTATTATAGTAAATTAAAAACTACGTAACATTTTGTTTATCAGATTCACATTTTAAAATTTTTATTTTTTTTTTTAATTGCGCTTAAGCAACGAAATAATTTCATTTTTAATTTTTTTTTTTCGCGTTCACGAATTGAATTCAAAATTTACTCACGGCCAACTTTAATTCCATCCATATTAATATGATATTTGTCTATGTAACCCTGATTCTTAGACAAATTATTAATTAATTTCATTTTGACATCTTCCATAGTAATTGGTTCTTTTCTAGTACCACCATTTGCATTATCACCATTTTCATTGTCACCATCTTGTTTATAATTCCATCCAATTCTATAGAAGACTTTAAATGGATCTTGACTGTTAAAAAAAAAAAAAAAAAAACAGAAAAAAATTGCATTATTAACTTTTAAATTTCTTTCTTGTTTGACAATTAACAACAAAAAATTTCATTCAGTACCTAATGTTGACAACATTTAATCCTACATTTGATTCAGCAAACTGAAGATCTCCATTACTATTATCAAACAAAATCATTTTGAGCTGATCTTCCATAATTGATGCAAGTTCTTGATATTCCATTGAATCTTTATTTAAAAATGCAGGATTCCATTCTAAATTATCTATTACCAGTTCTGATTCAATTGATCTTGGCACTGAAATTTAATTATTTGTAACATTAGTTGTTATTATTTATTTTTTCACATTTAAAATCAAATAATTAATTTTGTAGACTTGAAACTATGATTAATGAGGTTTTTGTTTTGCTTTGATATTTTCTTAATTAAGTTCAAATTATACGAATGCATTATTACAATGCCCATAGTTTTTTTTTTTATTCTCACCTACAGAAAACAACCTGGAGTGAAAATATAATATGTTGTAGACCTTGTATTAAATTAAATTTCACTATTGTCTTACTCACCATAATCATGAGTCATGTTGCTAGTGGGTGAAAGCCCTGATACAGAAGTTGATGTATCAGATCCATTGGTAACTACAGGTTTCAAGTCAGCTCCAGCAAAATTCCTACCAACTGAAGCTTCCTTAACCATATTTGGTTCTTGTGACAATATTAATCCAGCTGTAACAATTGAAAGTGTTAAGCCACATTTAGAAACAAAAGCAAACAAACAAACAAAAAACTAATTGACATGGAATTTTTCAAGAACAATGATGCACTTACTTCCAGCTAAAATAGCTACAATTAAAACAGCTGATATAACAGCACATGCTACTATCCATGAAAGACATCTCCTCCAAGACGTTGGTCTTCTTTTATCTTTAGTTACATACAATTTTTCACCCCTAAAAAAAATTATAATCAAAATAAAAAAAACAAACACTTATTACTCAAACATTAAAAATTAATAATGAAATTGAAAACACATATATCATCACTCTCCACGTGTGAATCATTTTCAAAAGTTTAACAGAAAAAAAAACGTCGATTTCATATTTAATTCAATCACAAAATGAAAAACTATCGTAATAAGATTGATTTTAACTAATATAAAATAAAAACGAGTAAAAAAAAAAACTTGAAAAATTCATTTTGAAAAAAAATATTTTATCATTTTCTAAACATCATTTGACAGAAGGGAAAAAATAACGGTCGTTTAACTGAATAAATAATGCAATAAAATAAAAATTTATTACTCAAAGTATTCAAATGGGTAAAACGTTTGCGTTCCAATAGATGTTTTATTATCCAATACACCAATTTTATTACTTGGACATATTTTTCTTCGCACATGACCATAACGATACATTTTAATCCGTTAAAACTTATCGAAAGAATGCTTAAGGAACGATTAAGCAAAAAAAAAGTGTAAACAGTTGAGCAAAGTCACAGCCTTTTCGAAAGGCGGGAAAAAAAAAATCCGAATCCTTGTTTATTTTAAGCCGTTACAAAATTTAATTAGTGGTAACATCATTATTATCGTGTTATTTTATTCCGCGTTTTTTGTGTTTCTTAACAATATTTTTTAATTAAAATCGATTAAACTTTCATTTTTAATTTAATTACGAATATTTTTTTATAATTATTTAATTAGTTTTAACCAGGTAAATACAATAATTCATCTTTTTTTTTGAAGGCGTCATTTTCTCAATGTTACATTGTTTTACATGTGCTCAATAAGTATATAGGCATATATAATTTTAAAAAGATATTTTCAGGTCGTTTTAATTAGGAAATAATTATTTTTTATTAAAAATTTAACATAATATATAGTAATAACAACAACAATAACAATAGATTTAATTTCAAGTGAAACAAAAAAAAAAAAAATTTTTAACAATCAAACAACAATGAGAATGAAGAAATTTTTCTTTTTTTTTTTTGAAAAGGTTTCTTTTTTTTTCTAGATTGTTATTTTATAACGAAAAGAAATCGTTAATTAGTCTCGTAGTGTTACATTACAACAAGGACAAAGTAAAAAATAACATTTGGGTAATAAATAAAATCCCTGGAGAATAACAAAAAAAATCAAACCAAGCCTGGAATTGAAATGGTAATAAATTCAATCACAGAAATCAAGTTTTGTGTGACACCTCATTGAAAAGACACATACAATAAAGTGGTAAGTAAAACAATTTTTTTAAATTCTCTAGGAAAACCTACATTATATGATTCATTCATTCATTCATTCATTCATTCATTCATTTGTGTGTGTGTGTGTTTTTCAATTTGATTAATTTTTACCATGGACTCGACAACACATAAAAGACCTTCAACACTTCAATGATTGACTTTGTTAATTATAATAATATTTTGTAGGAAATTTCTTTTTTAGAAAAGAAAAATTAAATTAATTTTATCCTTGAACGTTAAAACAAAAAAAAAAAATTTTCTTTCGGTATCATTAATCAAGGAACAAACGGAAAAAATGCTTTTTTTTTCTATCAACATGGCTTCCATTCGCGCGAAGGTTTCCGCCATTTATTTACGTAACAAACAACAACAACAAAAAAAACGAACGGTTGTTAAATTTCGACCACCTTTTTATTTCGTAATAACGAATTGTTATTTATTTTATTTTGCTTATAATATTAACGTTTTGTTTTACTACCACAAACAAACGAACAAACGACTAAAAATCTTCATAATCACGCATATGGCAGGCTATCACAAAATGACAACAAATTGTTAAAAAATTTAGAAATGGGGAGCGGGGGGAGGGCAAAGGGGGGAAATAATAAAAAGCTTTTGATTGTTGGGTAATAAATGACACGCGAATTTTTTAATACTTTCTTTAATATACGAAATTATTACCATTCGAGTTTATTTTTATAACTGTTACCGTAATAAAAAAAAAAAAAAAAGAAAATTTCGAAATTGGTGCAAGGTAAACTAACTTTTTAATCGAAGATCATGGAAAATATATATCGACTGCGAAATATAATTTTTCTTTTTACGTGAGTGATATTTAAAAAAAGAAAATTTTATTACCATAAATAATTTATTACTCGCGTATCGTCAATCAACGAGTAATAATAATAATAAATTAATAAATATTATATACTCGTTACAAAAAATTTTATAATTAATATATATATATATATCTTTTTCGATCTTTGTTATTATTATTATCACGACTCAATCGTTTGTATGTGATAAATTGATAATGTTAAAAAATATTTTTTTAACAAACCGTTTGTTTTTTAATTATTTTATTACGAGTAATTAACTAACAAACAACGGGAAATATTACTGACTTTAACATTTTTTTTGTTTTTCATTAACCTTAAAAATATTAATAATAATAATAATAATTTTTTTTTTAAATGCGTAATAAAATAAGAATTTTTTTTTTTAAAATGGAAACATTCTCGGTGGTTTTATATAAAAAAAAGTAACGAGGTAAATGACTTTTGAAAAATTTATTACCCATTATTACGAAAACTTACCTCATGTATTTTTTATGTTCGTTTACTGGCACAAAATATTCGTCATACGGAGAACTCATATCAACGGTTTCGGAATCTTTTTTCGCGGGTATTCCGTTAACGGGCACTCCATAACTCGTACCGTTTCCGTTGGTATAAGGTACCATGTTAACGAGTTCTAAATTAACAGCTTCCGGTACTTTATCTTTATTATCGGTACCATTTATTGATTTAAAGTCCGAATCCCCGCGATTATTAACATTATTTGTATCATCTTCGTAATCGAAACCCATGTTAACGACTCCATCGTTTTGTTGTTGTTGTTGTTGCCTTTCGTCTAGGGTTAAATTGACTTTACTTCCACCAAAATCGACGTGTGATATCGATCCCGTTTCTTCAGTCAAATTTATTTTCGTTACGTTATCATGATTATTAATATTATTATTTGTTGTTGTTGTTGTTATTGTCGGTTGAAAGCTCGTAGATGGTGAATCGGTTACGGACATGGTGGATTGTGAACTTTCTCCTGCTTCGCTTCCTTCACTAACACTACCTCCTCCTCCTCCACCCCCGCTACCGATATTAATACCGATACCGCCACTTGTTGCACTCATTTTTTTATCTGTGTCACCTGTATCCGAATCCAGACTTTTGGATCTGATAAACTTCTTCAGCTTTCCGATTTCTTTCTCATGTATTCAATTACTCTTTACATTTTATTCTGAAACAAAAATAATAATAATAATCATTTTTATAAAATCAACTTATATCGTCGTTTGTTTGTTTGTTTGTTTGTTCGTGTCCCTTTTTTGTTCATATCATTAAATTTACAAGTGTTAAGTCTTTTTAAATTTTATTTGTTAAATTTTTAGCAAATTTTTTTTTTACGTTAACGTATAGGAGATCAAAAGTTCAAATACAAACAACCCTGTTTTTTTAGTTTGCCATTTAACATAAGTGACGTTTGAAGGTTTTTTATTATTATTATTAACGATTTCATTGTTTTCTAGAAATTTCGAAGAGATTTAAATACTTTCGAATTAATTTGTCGTTAGTATTCTAAATTAACTGCGAAGATCTTAAAAGTAATTTTTCGTTTTATTTAACGTAACGTAATGATAACATCAATCAAATTCGGTCCATTCATTTTTTTTTGGGGGGGGGAAGGGGGTCGATCTGAACATTTTAATTAATTATCGTTATAAATAAGATAATTTTGAATCAAAAATTATTGATATTATTTTTAGTTATGTGAAAAAATATTACTTCACATTCGTGTTACACAATTTCTGACATTTTATTTTATTTTTTGCCTAAATAATTTAGGTTCATCTTTTTTATTTGAGTTTATTAAAAGGGTTACGAATTCGTAAAGTTATTGACACGTTAAAAATTTTTTTTTTTTTATAATTAGCGTCGTCGATTCGAATAATATTACGAATCGTTCGATTACAAAACTATATGTAATGCTGATAAAAAAAAAAAAAATAATTGCGGATATTTGTTCAGTCGAGAGCAAAAAAAAAAAAAAAATAACTTGATTTGTGGTTATTTTTTTTCTGAGCTGAAGTAAGGTCGTCAATAAGGTCAATTTTTTTTATATGGTCCTTGCCACGAACCCGTATTGTAATTTTTATTATTATTATTTCTTCCTTTTGCTGGGGATAAAATGAAATTTTTTTAACAAAGGAAAGAATAATAGGGCGGGACGATGTAAAAAAAAAAAAACGTCGTAGAAAGTGAAATACAGTAATATTATTAATTTTTTTTTTTAGAAAAAAAAAAAAACGTCAATAAATAATATTTTTAAAAAAAAAAGTTGTACTGTAGTCGATGGAAAAAAAAAAAAAAAAAAAAAAACAACTTTCCAAAAAAAGAAAAAGATGATTTTTAATCTGGAAAGTAATTCCAGTATATATATATTATTTATAAATAAAATCCATTAAACTTATATGTCATTTACAAAACTTTACGAACATCTTATGCGTGTTATTTCAAAAATAAAAAATAAAAAAAATGAAAGTGAAAAGTAACTTTTTAAGAATGCAGTTTGACCTTGAGTCTCATTTAAAAAAACAAACAAACAAACAAGCAAACAAACGGTTGCATTCGATATATTCGACTCCGAAATTCTGGAGAATTAACCGAACGTATCGATAAATTCCTTATTGGTTGGAAAGAAAGGCTCGAGTAAAAATCATTATTGAAAAAAAAAAAAACTCATTCTCCATATCATTCCAGCAAATATTAATGTATTATTTCATCCTGGAGAAACTTTTTTTTTTTTTTGGGGGGAAGTTAATATTAAACGTATTTATAGGAAAGTCTTTATAAAAATTAAATTCGATTCGGAGAAAGGAGTATGAAAAAATTAAATGTAAAAACCATAAAAAAATTTTTTTTTTTTTTAAAGGCCATTCGTTGATATTTCGAAAAAAAAAAAAATCGATTTTTACGATCGATGCGTAACGTTTTGAAATTTATTATTATTATTATTATTATTTACGTTACAAAAAAAAATTTAAACAAACGTCACGTGATTTAAAATTTTTAATTGAGAATGAAAAATCGAATGTTTAATTATTATTACATGATTTAATATTATCATTATCTCAAAAAAAAAAAACGATGCAATCGTTTGATATTTTTCTCTCTAAAAAAAATTCCATTTCCGCAACGAACAAACAAACAAACAAACAAACAAACAAATAACGAACCAGTTGGGAAAACCAAACAGTACAAGAAAAAAAAAAATCACTTTTACGACCACGTTTATTAATCAAGAGGTTACGTGGATTTTTTTTTTTTTACACGTGTTCATAAAAACTTTTTAATTTTTTTAAAACCTTCCTCTCCTCCCTCCCCTCGGGTTGTCGTGTTGTTTGTTTGTTTGTTCGGTTGTCGCATTAATTACGATCGATTTGATTTTTTTTTTCGTTGTTGTTGTTGTTGTTGTTTCGATTAATTTAAAAGAAATTTTACGATGAAAATAAGTGCGAGAGTGAATTTAATAAAAAAAAATTTGAAAGTTTCCATCATTTTTAATTATCATTATCATTATTATTATTATTATTATCATTATTATTATTATTATTATCATTATTATTATTTAAACTTTATAATAAATCGAGATTCACTTTTTTTTTCAATTTTCCTTTATCAAAATGCGTGTATAAAATTTTCAAAAAAAAAAAAAAAAAAGGTAGTAAATAATAATTTTACCCCCGTTCGTGTATAAACGAATAAGTGTGCGTGAGTGCGCGTGTATAAAAAAAATTGATTAGAAAGTAGTTTTTTTTTTGTTTTTTACTGAAAAAAAAAAATTTAGAAATTTTTAAAAATAATAGAAAATGGAATTAATTTTTTATTTTACATTTGAATACAAATATTCACTAAATAAATAAATAATAAAATGTTGTCGCGCACGAAAGTAACAGGTTTTAATTAAAATTTTGACAAATCTCACGAAAAATCGATCCATCGATCGATCGATCGATGAATCGATGATATCGATATACGACCCTTGGTTATGATGATAATAATAATGAAAATACAGGATTGAAAGGGAGTAAAAGTCGATCCCGTTTTTTGGGCGTGTGCATTTTATTTAAATCAAAAATTTCTAGATCGATCAATAATAATGATAATGATTATTATTATTATTATTATCATCATCGAACGAATGGTGAGTGTGTGTGCAGGTACGCGTTGATTTTTTTTTTATTATTATTTTTTATAATTCGAAAATCAAATCAGTGGGACAACGAAACTAGTAAAACAGGGTTTTTTTTTTTTTTTTTTGGAAGAAAAATGAAAAAATATTTAAATCATCATCATCATCATCATCATTATTATTATTATTATTATTATTAATATATTGTGTTCACCCGGATTCGTTTAAGACGAAACAACTTGACAACGTTCGATTAATAACGCTTATATATGGAGACCGTTTGGTCAGGTGCAAAACATTTAATTATTTAGATACCACTCACTCTCTCTCTCTCTCTCACTCTCCCCCAAACAGGTAACATTCCCTCTTTCTCTCTCTCTCGGCACGAAAAATAAGAAAAAAAAAACAAGATGTTTAATTTTATTCGGTACGTTCCACTTAAAAACAATGTCAGCTTTTAATTATTTAAAACGTGAAACGTTTGAAACAAATGAAGAAATTTTTCTCGTGGCTCTAAATTCTTTTCTTCCACGTCTTACCTTTCCCCCCCCCCTTCCCCCCGCATTCTACTCCCCTCTCGTTATTCGGTGTTGCAAATCTAGTTTTTTTTTTTTTTTTTTACATAATCTATAAAAATCTAACGCAGTTTTTCTTTATTTTTTCGAAGTAGAAGAAAAAAAAATTTTTTTTTTTTTTTTTTAAACCGATCTTTCGTGTAATTGTAATAATGTGAAAGCCATTTTTCTTTTTTTTTTTACCGGCGTACCTATGCTACCTGTTCGGCCTTGATTTTTTTTTTTTTATATTAAACACGTTTTTAATTTTTATATAAAGCGATATATTTCTTTCTCTCTCTCTCTTTCTCTCAAACAGAACATTTTGAATTGTTTTTTATTTATTTACATATATCTCCAAGTAAATAAATTTTGTTTTTTTATCCTTGTTTTTGTAGGAATCGAAAGTAATAAATGAAAAACGGTCGCCATTTTAATTAATTAATTGCATTAAAATCCATTTGAAACGTCGACATTTTTTTTTTTTTTTTTTGAGTTTTAAGTTCAATTGCGTTATTATTATCATTATTATTATTATTATTAAATTTATTGTCGTAGCGTATTGTCGAGTTAAAATAATGATAATAATGATAATAATGATAATTTTCTTTAATTTTACCGGTCATTAATTTGAAAATGTCAAAATATTTACATTTTGATGATGTTCGTCGGAAATTTTTCTTTTTTTTTTTTTTCTTTTTTAACCTTAAAAGATGAGATGTAAAAATGTTTTTACAATGATAAATTTTGGTTTTTTTATAATAAATGTTAAAATTTAATTTCAGATATTTAACATATCATTATTATTATTATTATTATTATTATTATTATTATTATTATTATTATTATTATTATGTTTTAATGCGGAAATTTTTTTTTTTTTTCTTCTTCTTCTAATCTTCTCATTAATGACTACACAAAAAAGATTTTCAGCATCAGATATAACAACAAATGCTCTAACGTAGTAGTAATAATAATAATAATAATAATTATCATTATTATTACCTCATTTATTTTATTATTATTATTATTAACTCACTTTTAAATTTTTTTTAACTTGTAAAAA